AATATGCGTTTTTGCTGCCTGTTGCAGCGCTCTAGCGCTGCACGGCAAAAACGCATAAAAACTGGGAAGATCGGAAGATTTGACAGCAGTTCCAAGTTGTTGCCCCACATCACACAATATATATAGGGGCAGGGAAGAGGACCGACAGCGGCTCCAAGCTATCGCCGGACAATGGTCTGGCAAAACAAAACAATCTCAATTTCATCTCTAATCACGTCATTATATATCAAGGAGGAGTGGGCAGGAACACAAGTCAGGACAAGGGACATTTGCATATCACATGGAATCGAAGAGCAACTGCGCATGAGGAATGGAATTAGCCGCCAACTTCATTACCTTACTGTTAACTCCTTCGTTTTGCTACAGTGCAGCTGGCAAAAACTGTCCAATTGCTTCGATCAATACTGGTGGTCAGCCCGCTAGCAATCGTTACGTTCCTTGCTCAGCGATTCTCGTCGTAATTGAAGCGTTTAGCAAGGCCTCCACCATCTCACAACGCTCTCGAATACATGTTGCGTACCACCACTTCGTATTATGTTGTGCTGACGGTCCTCACGACCAACGAAGGACACGGACCCTCCCAGCCCGAAACATCACCAAGGAATCGAGGACCCAGCCAACGATCTGAGAAGGAGCCGGAACAACGCCCAAAGCCACAGTCTTTCGCCCAATTGTTCGGCTGGGGCCTTGGAAGTCTCGTCCGCTGGCCTGGTATCCGGTGCCTTCTCGGATCGTTGGCTGGGTCGTCGATCCCTTGGTGATGATTCGGGCTAAGAGGGTCCGCGTCCTAAGTTGGCCATCGGGGTTGCCAGCAAAACACAACACAATTCAACACAGATCGGCCTTATATAGGCAGCTATCGGCTTTATATAGGCAGCTTCGCGCCATTATACATGCCCTACCTAGGAGGGAGCATTCTTCCGGATCTCATAAAAAAACACAGCTTCCACTCAGCCTGGTTCCCGAGCTAAAAGTACGCTAATTTCTACTCGTAAGTTGCTATTTCGAGGCTTGCTTTTTGTCTTAAATAACGAGATTTGAAAGTTTTTTACGCCCAATAGCAGGTAAGAGCTGATAAGCATAGCGCAGTAAGCAATAACATAGCTGTCGTACAAAAAAAAGCCGAAGCTTCGATCTCGCCATTGCGGCAGAACCAGTTCCTCTACGATTCGTTCATTCGTTTCGATGATAAATTGATAATATTAAATAAAACATCAAACACAGAATTCACACCTATGGTATCATGCTCCGCTGTGCTGGAAGGACGTAAAATCAAAAAAAAAAAAAAGTAATAATCAGTTAACCTGTGAACAAAATTAGTGGTACCATCAATTGGATCAATAATCCAGGTTGGCGCATCCGTATAATCAATTTTTTGGCCGCCCGCTACTGATTCTTCGCCAATAAATCTGAAAATGTAAAAAAATCCAAAAATTGCTGCGCCATCACCCCCTCCCTCTCCTCCACAGGAGAGGTGCAACTTCCAAAATTACTGCCTTTCATCAAAATTGTATCAGATAGCTAGGAAAACGACTCTGTCCCTTCTTACATATTTTCACTTCAATTTAAATGTACTTTTTGAAATTTTGTGTTTTTCCTAAATGAAATTTAACTTCCACGTGGAAGAGCTTTTTTTCTGGCCAAATTTTCACTGTTTTCACATTTCTGCCAACATTTCAACTCATTTTTTGCAAAGGATTTTTATGTCTTTTATCTCAATTTCCACAGAAATGATTTTAGCATTCATACTATATAAATATGGTGTGCTTTGGCATTCATCAAATAGTGAGCAACTCCTGAAAGAAGAAGCCATCGACATCTTTGCCAGCGTGTGGTTGCGGTTGGCATTTGCTACCATTCAGGCTATTTTCCCAGTGCTTACGCTTCTCAATGAAAGCGAATAAGCCAGGGGTTTCTGATTTCTAGATTATAAACCGTGTATTTGTTGTCAGTCAGATGGCAAGTATGACTGACAACAGATGGAGGAAACGCATTATCGATTGGTACCCACGACATATAAAAAAGCCAGTAGGGAGGCCACCGATGTGCTGGTCCGATCGGCTAATTCGCTTATATGGAGTATTGCGGATGAGGCCAGCTCAGGATAGAACTCGGTGGTGTGGTTGTCGGCTCGGTCACTGGAGAAGATCAACAGCGCGTCAGTGACGGAAACGCCGTATCAACTAAATTGTGTATCGGAATCAAAAATTTTCTTTGATCCAAAAAGTGGTAGTACCAACTTATGGTCAGGAAATTTCTTCGAAATATTCTCGATTAGTAGCTTTTCAACGGCCTGATCGGTTTCTGTTACAAGATCTGTATTCGACAATTTCGTATGCACTTCTGCACAGGGCTGTTCGAAGGCAGCTCGTACCAGCTGCAATATACAACAAGTGTGTATGGAAGTGAAAACTTGCTCAGGGTAAGGGAGGAGTTTTCCAGAAAGCGAAGAATGACACTTATGTGATTAGAAGACAACTACCCAACGGCCTGATCGGGTAAGGTGGCTTAGGAGTTAGTCCTCAAAAATATACATAGTATGTAAGCTACTGCTACTTCATCGTAACATAAGAGTGACGACGTTCGAAGCGAGGTTAAGAGGCGCTTAACTTACATCAACAGCCAAGCCTTGCAAAAAAGTGCTTCTGTTGGGAGAAACAATGCTGAACAGAGAACTTCTTTAGGAGCCGAAAGATATTGTTAGGATTCTCAGTAAGCTGACCACTAGAAAAGCTGGAAGGCAGAAATTTTAAGAGAACGTTCCCCGACAACACACAATTTAAAGATTTCAAATTCAATCCCCCAGGCACAAGGGATACCTACAGATGAGCATGTAAAGGTTTTGACGGGAAAATTACTAACTCGAGAACCAACACCGAACAAAGAAACTGAGGAAGCTGTCAGCTGTTTGGGTCAAGAATCGAGGTGCAGCTGTTCCAGGCATCTACCAGATGAGATGTGCAATTTCCTCGAGCCTCATGAATGTGGAACTTACCCGCCCAGCTTTATTGACGATTTCCAGTGCAAAATTGAAAAACACGTCCTCATCGGGATGTAACGGCTGCCAGACCATTGCCTTTCAGTTCAAGGAAGGATAATGCTATCCCTAAAAAAAGCAAGAGCATAAAACAGATTTTGGACAATTCTATTGCATTTCACGTGACATCGCGAGAAAGTAAACGGTCGCTCAAGGAGACACTGAAAAAAATTATGCTCAATACATATTCAGCAAGCAGGCAACAAACCCAGACCTCTAAGAGTGCGTGGTTCTCACGTGCGGGCCCAAAATCTTTGGCGGGTAAGTTGCTAACTCGGGAACTAGAGGAGCTAGAAAACTGAAATTTTAAAGGAATGTTTTCTGACAGCCGTAGTGGTTCGTCGAGATTATGAAGGCATAATTTATTGAGGGACAGAAGATGACAACAGATGGACAAAACGAACAAAGTCTGAATGGTACTTGTGATGCGTTATAACAGTAAAAAAGATACTAACATACCGAATCGATACATTAACTCACTGTATGTATAAAGTGGTGTGGATGAAGAAAACACAAAACCGTAGTGGATGGAAAAGTTGCCAGCTGCATAGATGGAGGGATCCAGATATCGAAGATGTAAAGACGCAGTCGAAATTATCCGGATATCGAAGATGTAAAGAGCTTCCCATCCCTCCAATCGAAATTATAAAAGACGAAAATAAAATAAAAAGCTGAGTTATCTTTCGTTGACATTCCAGCTGAAAGTCGGGAAGCAACGCCCCATCGAAGATCGCATCTCTGACAAAGAACCGACTCTCCGTCTCCCGTCCACCTTTTCCCCGTCAACTTTCCCATTGTAGATTGAATCTAGGTATTTCAGGTAAGCTGAAATTTGCGATCAACCCACTATATGTTGCTTGAAAATAGGTGCTACGATGCTGGGTAAGTGCTAAGGCTAATGAAATACTCGAAAGGCACTTCGGGTTACAGCTAACTGACTCAAAAAGCAAATAAATGTGTTCTCTAAACCGGATTCTCGTTCCTTGCGCCCTAGTTTTGTAAAATTCCAGAAAGTGCGAAGTCAAAAAAAAGCTGTATGCTTTCTGCACCTCTGAGCTTCTTGTAATAAACTCAAATCTGAGGTCCAAAAAAAAAAAATCCGCAAAAGAAAATAATAACTTTCGCCGCCGAAACTTTTACGGGGCCGTACGTATTATCTCCCGGGCACAGGAAGGCTGAATTTAAATTTGCGGGATCACATGTTGGCGAGGAACACTCTACTAAAATTTCAGCCGCCTAGCTTTTGTGGTTCCTGAG